GGGTCCCGGGGGTCCCGGTGCTGCCCCGGGCCTCGGGGGTCCCGGGGGTCCCGGTGCTGCCCCGGGCCTCGGGGGTCCCGGGGGTCCCGGGGGTCGCGGCCCCTCGGGGGTCCCGGTGCTGCCCCGGCCCCTCCGCTCGCTCCTCCTCAAAGCCCCGCGGTCCCGGCGGTTTTTTTTTTGGTGTTTTTTCCTTTTTTCCCCCTTTTCTCTCCCTTCCCCTCTCTCCTCCCGGCATCTTAGCAACGCCGCCCCCTTAATTAAAAATTAGATTGGATTTTGGAGCTGGGAAGCGCCGGAGGCCGCGCCGGGGCTGCCCGGGCGGGGGGCACAGCCCGGCCCCGGCCCCGCGGACGGGGGGAGACCCCCCAAAATCCCGCGGGGATGGGGGTGCCCCCCACCCTTCCCTCCGAGAGGTTTTGGGGACCCCCAGCCCCCCTCCCCAGGCTCGCAGCTTTTCCTCAGCGTGACCTTGGCAGAGCAGCTCCCCGTGCCTCAGTTTCCCCCGGGGAGGGCACGGCGCGGGTTTTGGGGGGTCGTGGAGGGGGGGGGGTCGGGTTGCTCCGAACCCCCACGCCGGGTGGGCACGGGGTGGGCACGGGGTGGGCACGGGGTGGGCCAAGGCAGCTCCGGGCTCCCCCAGACCCATTTCCAAGGAACGGCTGGACTGGGGTCCTGGGGCCCCCCGGAGGTGGCCCCTGCTCTCGCCACGGACGGACGGACGGACGGACGGACGGATTTGGGGTCAGACCCCCCCCGGCCGGGTCAAGCCCCCCCATCACCCCCAGCCCCGTCCCCCCGTGCCCCCCCCGGGGGTCCCGTTTGACCCCCGGGTCCCCGAACCCCCCCCGGAACCGGCCCCGGGCACCGGGATGGGGGCCCGAAACCCCGGTGCCGCCCCGGGGGCTCCAGCAGGACCGGAACCGGGCGGAACGGAGCGGCACCGGGCGGGGAGAACCGATGGAACCGGGCCCGGTTCCGGCGGGACCCCCGGTACCGGAGCGGGGTGGTCCCGGAGAACCGGGCCCGGTTCCATCGGGACCCCCCGGTAGGGAACGGGGGTCCACGAGGAGCAGTCCCAGGACCGGGGAGAACCGGGCCCGGTTCCACCGGGATCTCCCGGTACCGAGGGGGGGGCTCACGAGGAGCAGCCCCGGGGTTTGGCAGAACCGGGCCCGGTTCCACCGGGACCCCCCGGTACCGGAGGGGGTGATCCAGGAGGATCGGCCCGGTTCCATCAGGGCCCCCCGGTACCGAAGGGGGGTCCTCGAGGAGCAACCCTGGGGTTTGGGAGAACCGGGCCCGGTTCCACCGGGATCTCCCGGTCCTGGATCGGGGGAACCCACGAGAACCCACCCCGGGATTTGGTAAAACCGGGCCCGCGACGGAGGCGAACCGGCCGCGATTGCATCCGAACCCTCCGGTACCACAACGGCGGCTCCACAAGCACCGAGCCCGGGCCCGCCAGCACCGCCCGGTACCCCCCGGTACCCCCCGGTACCCCCGAGCCCCGGGCCCGGCCGGAGCCGCTCTCATCCCTCCGGGAACGGGCGGGACCGGCGGCGAGCGGGGCTGGAGCGATGCCCGCGGAGTTGGGAACGGCGCCGCCGCCGGTGCCGCTCCCGGTGTCCAGCGCCCGGTCCCCGAGCCCCGGCGGTGCCCCGGCGGTGCCCCGGCGGTGCCCACCTTGCCCGCGGGTCCCGGCGAGAGTCAGCAGGCACAGGAGGAGGATCCGCATGCTCCCGTCCCGTGCGGCGGCCGCGCTGCGGGGCAGGGCCCGCCGGGGGTCCCGGGGCTCCGGGAGGGGCTCGGGCCCGGCCGATCGCCGCCCCTCCGGGCCCCGCGCCGCCCCCGGGACCGGCAGCGCTGCTCGGGAGCCGGGCCCGGCCGGGCCGGGGCCGGGCAGGGGCCGGGAAGGGCCACGGAGCTCCGGCGGCTCCGCTGCGCGCCGAGCCCCGAGCGAGCGGCGGCGGAGGCGGGGCGGGCGGGGG